TTTTTTTAATTTTTTTTCAGAAACATCGCGGTCGGGCATGGGGGAGGTGCTGATAAGAGCAGACACCCCCTCTACGCCCGCTGTTTGCGAATGGCTCTGTTCCATTGGTGGGGAGGTGCACCTGCTGGAAACCGGGTCCAGCTTCCCTTAACATTCAGGACAGGGAGGCCGTGTTAACTATGTTATGTTGGCTGTTTTTTGCGGGACCCCAATCATGCAGAACAATGCAGAGATCCCTCTCACTAGCCCTAGATGAACTTGGTTGTCACAGAGCCATGCACTTCACAATCCCAATTTTTTCTGGACTCTAATCAAGCACGACAATGCATAGACCCCTCTCGTGAGGCCCCAAATGAGCTTGTTGTTGCAGTGCCCTATGTACCCTCGCCAGAATTCCCACGTCACAGCCCACAGCTACCAATCTCTTTCAGTCCTGGGCTGTTGTTCCCATAGCCCACACCAATCCAGCAGCAGGAGACTTCGCTTAACAGAATGCTGAGGTCTGTTACATCATGCCACAACTGTTCCACCGGTGGGGAGGTACTTGTACAGGAATCCTGGTCAGGCCATAGACACTGGAGATGTCACTGTTACAGCAGGGCAATCTCCTTTTAGCCAAAAGTTCCAAAACTCCTGCCCGGGTCACCCGGATTCGTGTAGTTGTAAAGTCATAAAGGTTGTCAATTGTGTGCTGGTAGTCACATCTTGCAGTCCTTCTGCCACGTGGCTGATGATGACGTGTCGTCGTCTGTGGACGGCTCATTAGGGTATGACCGGCCCGTAATGATGGGGAAGTGTTCATGGGTGTAGCAACTGAGCTAGGCTTGCTGGTTACTAACAGTTTTCTGTTTTTCTTTACCCAAAAAAAAGAAAAAGAAGGAAAAACAGAAAACATGCTTGTTTACACAGAGAACTGACGTCAGGAGAGTGATCACAGCATTCTGTACGGACTGGCTGGGCGGAGAAAGGGAAGGATGGGTAGCAAAGGTTACATGGGGTGGGGATAGGGCTGGTGGACAACAGGATTTGGAAGGAATGAGGGATTACAGGCTAGTGTTTAAGGACTGGACCCATGTGGAGCCCTCATTTCCTTTGCGCGCCCCCCCCCCCCCTCGATTTCCCGGATCCCTTCCCTCCCCATGCCCTCTCCCTGACGAAAATCCTGGTCTAGAAGACTGCTAAAAGCTGTTACTTGCGCCCAGAATGGGCCTCCTTCGCTGGAGCCCCCCGGGAAAGGCCCCCAACGAGCACAGGACACATCCCAGCCCCCCCGGCTGGCAGCATTTTTGGTGGATTGCTTTATCCTGGCATATTATTCCCGAATGCTTATAAGGGCTCACTGGTGGCCCCCAGGGACCAAAAGGCAAAAAAAAAAAAAAAAAAAAAAAAAAAACACCCC